CCTTGTTCACTTTGACTGGTGGGCCCTGTGCCCTTTTGTTATGGGTTCCGATAAATGACAGCCATTACAATGCCTTGAAGAGTCTTTATTCGGTTTTCACCGGACTGCTAGACTGTAAAGGCGATTCTTTGCTCGCAGTCCCGAGTACACATTTCAGCCCTTCTTTCAAGGCAGAAATTCATTTATCACCTGTCTAGGATTCAGGCAAGCGTGAACAGAAGCAGAAAGCAAAATTAATGTTACTATTCTTTAGGGTGAAGGGAGCGTTACAGGGTACAGCACTGATGATAACATTCTGGTAAGTTCAAGAAGAGCAAGCATGCGGTACCAGGTACATTCCTTATCATAAAAGAAACAATAGCAAAATTGACTATAACATCCTGGTTACCATAACAAGATTAACTACACCATTCAGATGACAACATCAAAAGGAACAAAATTAAAACAATATCTTGAAGAATATCCTAAACTAATTGTATCCAGAACCTGGGTACGTGAGAGTACATTCTAAAATCAATCACGAGTGGGACTTTCTGAGATGGGAGGGGGAAGGAGGCAGGTCATTCAGCAGCTAAGAAAATGGAGTTCCTTTTGCTAGTCGGCCTCACGTTGTTTTTGCAGCTTATAGCCCAAGATAACAGTGCGATGCAGTGCACGGTTTAATATGGTCCTTCTAGCCACAGTCTTTGAAATCCTCTTGAAGGGTTGAACTATCCCAGGAGCTAAATAAAACGCAAGAAGGGTTTCCCAGCATTAAGAAGAACCTGGAGTGGAGTGTGTCATTCGGATCAGGATCCCTTTGTTGCTGAAGCCCTTCTACCCCAGAGCCTGGGAAGGCTATTAACACCTGTTAAAGAAACAGGTGCACCAGAATTGTTAGGTAGCTAGGATAAAGATAGAAAGAGTTGTCTCTCCTATGCCTGCACAAGGCCCCCTACAAGAGGTAGGGAAGAAGGATCAGGTGAGCATTAGCCCCCCCATAAAGAGTTTAACTGGGCATGCTCCAATTCAGGCCCCAGCCAAGCCAGATGGGCGTTACACCTGGGCAGTCCAAAGGAGGCCCAGGCTCATGATCCCACCCAGGTGGGCTTAATTCAGCCAGTGAGGTCAACGGATACCTTCAACCATGCCTTCCCAGATAGTGGTTGAAATATCCTGGCGCCGGGCCTGCTGCCCCTTCTCCCTTTGACCCTGCTCCTACACTTTGTCAGCGCTGCTTGTTCTCTGGCCTCAGGTTACCAAGCGTGGGCGTGCAGTCCCACGTTGCCCATGTTCAGTTGTGGACCCCAGCCCTGCTTCCGCAAGGTTTGGCATACTTCCCTGAAATAGGGTGTACTGAGACTGTAAATAGGGTGTATTGAGACTGTAAAACCTGAAACTTCTCCCATCCGTTATAAAAACCCACTTGGATGACAAACCAGGCTTCGGCGTGAGTTCTTTCTCATACGAAGCCAAGAACCGAGGTCTGACCCACCCGAGAAACCTAATAGAATCAGGATGTGGGCAGGAGAAGACTTAGAGAAACCAAGGTCTCCTTACAAAGTGAAACAGATCCCTTATATCCACTGTAGCAGATTTTATGTCAACTTACACTGTGTAGGGGTGGAACCCGACCTGTAAATCATCTGAAGGCAGACTGCAGGTGCGCACAACCAGAGCCGAAGGCACGTCCTCTCGTATAGAAAGCCCCAGTGTTTGCTGGGAGGAAAAGGCCCACAGGATCAAGGCACCAAGATCTGGGCTGAGGCTAAAACAGATAAAGTCCCATGTGGGTGGCCAAAATTTGTTACCCAAATGCCACTTTGCACCTGGTGCAATGCAAGGGCAACCTATTCATACCGAGGGGAGAGAAAAGTTGAATCACGGGGACATAAACAGGGAAACACATAGACTGTCAACACCCTTCAAATGCCTACTCCACCTGGGGACTAGTCTCTTGCCCACACATGGGAGACTCTCCCTCCAGTCCTTGCCCACACATGGGGGATCTCCCTCCAGTCCTTGCCCACACATGGGGGATCTCCCTCCAGTCCTTGCCCACACATGATTTGTTGGCGGTTTGATTTTGGTTTTCTTCCCCCACCCCCTAACCCTAAGGCTTTGCACATTTCATTATATTCCTTATCATCTTAGATGCCCTTCGAAATTTTCGATTCAGTTCTTTGACATCATTTGCCTTAGCTACTTCTGGCATCCACTTTGATCTTTCTTTCCTGTCTTTTTAAAAATAAAATTAAAAGATCGTTTTCTTGCGGCTCTTACAGTTCTTATAATAATCCATATATCGATTGTATCGAGCACATTTGTACACATGTTGCCCTCATTATTTTCTAAACATTTACTTTCTATTTGAGCCCTTGGTCTCAGCTCCTCTTTTTTCCATTCCACC